CCCCCCCCCCCCCCCCGCCCAAACCCCTCCCTTTCCTTATACCATTATTTCTCTGGCATCCATCCTTGGACATCAAATTTTAATAACATGGTTGCAGACTTCAACAGAGATGACTTACCTTAGCATAAACAACTCCAATTATACTTGTGTGGACTCTCATTGCTGATTTAAATGCAATATGAAGTGAATGTTGAACTGCTGTCATTTGAAAGATTGCTATGACAACCATACAGGCAACATACACATAACCCTTCCACTTGTCTGCCTCATTTTCTTTATCCTCTGTGTATTCTATAAGGAGTCTGTAAAGCAGGAGCAAAATTAAATTAAATGTACGTAAAATAACGTTGTGATCAAGAAATCACTTTGTATAAGTAATCACAGAGTTTGAGTGCAATTTGGTATAAATAGTCTGTGCAACAAGTGCTCATTTTCGGAATGTTCACATGATTTTCGTTTACCTTCGGAAGGATTCAGGTAATCCTCGGAAGTGTTAAATAAAAATATCATATTGAGAAAATATGTTATGTACATATGTATTAAAGCTAACCCTTGAACCACACCCATAAATGTTGCCAAAACAAGATTTTGGCAGCACATCCTTTGTTTTTGGCTTCACAACAGTCATTTTAAAACTGACCCCCATGATAACATGTAACCCTGGTTCAGACTTGTAAAATATAACACAAGTGAAATAAGCACAAGCATAAGCACAAGAAAAAGAAACATGTTCCTTTCTTCTTGTGCTTGCGCTTATGTTTATTTCACTTGTGTTATTGTGAACCAGGCTGTAGCAGGTTTGAAACTAGACTTCTCATCTCAAACTCACAGTCCACCTAAGTAATTCCTATGCAACAAATTAACAGGGAATGTATTATACACTGTAAACACTACCTCATCATACCCTAGGGGACAGGGGTGAGGTGGATGGGGGAATGTAACTCCCAACAAAGGTGACTGTCATTCATTTTTCTGGCCAAAATTTGTAGTTTAATGCTGCTACTAATTAATTCCCCCACCACACCCCTCTCATAAAATACAGTGAATAAAACAAGTCAGTGAATCTGATCAGGCATCTTAAACGAGAAAAGAAGGGGCTTATAAAGTTATACCCTAGGAATATGAACTATGCGTTTATATCTAAAATTACCCCTCTTTATATCGAACCTCACTGATACCTTTTCACATACTAAGGCTATTCAGCTGAAAATAAAATTAAATATGATAGGAATGACTTATCTATATAGGAAGTGGTGCCTCTTAGAGGTGCAAATGAATTCAAGCTACATTTTAAGAAAATTGACCCTGGTACCCCTTCAAATCTCTCACAATCATCCCCATCAATTCAGTAAGAGAGTACCCCCATTATACCTACTTCATACATGCATATCAAGGTTGTCATTAAGAGCCATACCCCATAAAATGTACATAACACCTGTTAGGGCCCTTGATGTTAATGGTCCATGTCGAAAAAATGGGGAAAATGGAACTGTATTGTAAGACTCCACTTACCCTAGAAGATACGGCTGAATGAAAAGCAATATATCGTTGATCAGTTTGAAGACGATTCCAATCACAAAGTAAGGAGCAAACACTCTGATCATAGCTTTGACCAGGGATGGATCATGGCATTTCTTTCTAGCAAAAGTAACATCAGAGGTTCCATGAAGTTGGTCCTTCTCAAGTTCATGTTCATCAAACTGAGGTGCTTTGTTTTTCCTGACATGTCAACAAACAGATGCAGGCTTGTCAGAAATAAAGGGAGACGCATAACAGGAGATTATCTTATGGTTACTGTAATAAATCATTGCATTCAGACTGCATTTAACCTAGAAAAGAATGCACTTTCTCGCGCACAGACATATACATGCACTACCTATCTTGCACTACTCCTGATAAAAACATCTCTAAAAGATAAAATAAAAGTTTTTCAAACACCCGCAAGAAGGAATTTAGAAGAGGATCGTGCAAGGTCATCGATACCACTTAAGGATCCTTAGTCTGCCAATGATCATCAAAGATCTTAGGCAACAATCCCCACAAAGATTTACCGGTACAATGATCCTAAATACAATCCTTAAAGGATTCAATGAGGATTTTGCCAGGGTCTCAGGATAACATTATTTGAAGAATCTATTTGTTGCAACTGATATAAAACCTTTCAGAGTATCCTTGAGGATTTTGCAAGGGACTTTCGAGTGGGCCTTTTTAGGATATCAGGGCTCGAAAAAAAAAAAAAAAACACCTGAAGTCTAGCTTGCCCTTCAGACAAGCAGCTCTCAAATTTTGCTTGCCCTGGGCAAGTCTTAGTTTACTTTCTTTTTCTTTAGTTGGCAGACGATTTGCCTGGGCCCTTAGCCACTGGGCAAGTGAGAACGAAGAGTTATTTGCACAGCAGAACAATCTACAGTACACGTACTTGTACTGGACAACCGGACGACACTTTTCGAGCCCTGGATATTGTAGCAATCATTTCGTTCAAGATCCTTCAAGAACATTGGAGATCTCTGGGTATTATACATGTCAGTGAAGATTATCAAAGGTATTTGAATGTGAAGATCTGTATTTGAAACATGTACAGTGTAACTGTAAAGTACTTTCACCAGCAGAATTAAATTGAAGTGGATGAGGGAAAATGGTGACAGAAGTACTCCCACAGACTGATCTCGAGACACTCACCCATGATTTTTTCTAAGTTCCTTGTCCCATTCCCCGTGAAGTCTTGGTACAATATTACAAGAAAGACTTTTTTCCTCCAACGACCACAAGTCACTGTCCTGCAATGGTCTCTTGAAGCCAGTTAGAAACAAACTGCACACAAAAAGAAGAGTAAAAATTATTATCTACAGTACAAGTCATGTAGCATCATAGACACGAATCACAGGTTGCGATGGCTTGGTCATGTGCTGAAAACGCCCAATGAAGGGATAGTTACCGAACACTGGCTTGGAATGGACCTCAACTGAGAGAAGAAAGGGAGACGTGCCAAAAACCACCTGACAGAGGACAGTGATGAAAGTGCTGGGGGACGGAGATGGGTCTCTCGTGGGGTGAAACACAGGCCAAAGTACGGGACAGGGTTCTGATCAGTGGCAGGGTTTGACTGCAGCCTTTAATATACGTAAACTTTTAAGCACTAATAAAAAGTAATCATCAAGACACAAATTGTGCAAAGAGCACATACATGTACATGTAGAGCCATAACTGTCCATGCAGTCATTGGCGCACATGGTGTATAGACCGACTGTATGGTTATGTTCTGATAGTACCTACATGAACATCACAGGCATGCAATGCATGCAAAAGGGCTGGACAGCTACAATATAAATAGTCCTAACACTGCACTAAGTTCCATATATATACATATACATGTACACAGGGTAAAGGTACATTTATACTTAAACCTTTAAATTATTTCATTGACCAGCAAAGACTAGCCCTCTGCTTATGTTACTTCATAATCATTGTTGCATGACAACCTATAACAACCTATTTAGGAAAGAAAAAAGGGCTAACAGACTACACAAAGTTTTTACACAGTCATGCACTTAAACTAACAAATCAAAGTTAAGCATAAATTGTAACGGTCAACATTACCTGTTTAGCCACCAAAATGACACGCGTGAAAAGAAATTAGCTTTCCCTTCTGGGCATGGTTTCTCCAAGGAAAAAGCACAATCACAAAAATTACTGTCAGTAAAAACTTGTAATATAGTGCAGCTCAGAAATAAGAAAAGATATACATGCACACTTTGCATCAGCCAAAAACAAGTACATACAGTGTCCGTGTGTGCATGCACGGGTATACAGCATACAGTACTTGTACGTGCATATGCCTCATTAGTATACATGAGCTAGCGTATTGTTTCTTCTTTTCTTAACAGGTCATTGTTGTTTTTAATGGCTTGAGAGCTTGCCACAAGGCAAGAAGTATGGATTATTGACCAAGTGTGAGGTCAAGATGGCTGGATATTGGCCAAGTTCTTCTTTTGCGTGTTTATGGACTGAGACGGAGTTGAGGTCCATAAACACACACAAAAAGAATGAGGTAAATATCCAGCCATCTTGACTGAATGAGCTTTATCAATAAAGGATTTTTTACGTGGCTTTCGGGGAAATTTTTCTCCCGGGAAATGGCGGGTAGTCCCACGTGGCCAAGATAGCTCCATCTTGCCCACTCAGGTAGCCAATAACAGCACAAGATTTGATTCATCTTGCCCGCTCATGGAGCTAGCCATATAATAAAGGGTTTTATTTTTTTTTAAATACACAATGAGGCATATGCCTTCAGACTAGATTAATGTACATGTATATCTATAGCTGAAACAAACATTTTGCTATTGGGCACTTGGCATAAAATTAACAAATGGAAAACTGAAATAATACATGTAGTAACATCTACACGTACAAGCAACAACAAAAATTCAAAAACTATCATATGAATCATGTGGGATGGATGAAGTACAGTACATGCATGTAACAAAAAGGTCAAAACTACTTGCGATGATAAAATAAACACACACCAACCAACAAACAAGGACCCACTGTTAGTAGTGTGTTTCGTCAACCCTGAAAAAGCCGTTACTATTAACCAAATCTTCCATCCAATTTAGTAAACCAAAAACTTTGTACATGTAACTCGAATAAACTAGTAGAGATGGCAAATTTGAAATGCAAAAATAGGGCTTTGCACTTTTCTGTCATTGACACGCCTTACCCATTGCGTTCCATAGTCTTAAATGTACCTTATGTAACCAGCTACATGTATTTTACTGTGCTACAGTACACACATACACATTGTTATTTGTATAAAATACAATGTGGACAGTCACGCTTCAGTTTCTTGGCATGTAGTTGTGAATACTATTAATAATATATTTTAGTTTCAGTCAGTTCTGATTGTTAACATACATTCTGGGTAACATGCCAAAAAGAAATTCAAATGCTATTAATGCTCACAAAACGTCGACCCATTCTGTATACATGTACAATCAATCAAGACATGGACATATAGCTTGTTTTGCAGGCATGTTTGATCAAAGAGAGAGAACTCTCAGTCATCTACACTGACAGACAAATGATTAAAAAGAATTTACTATTAATATTTAACTGATTTTAAATATACTTTTTTTCTTATTATAAAATAAAATGTCACGACTTTATAGTTCTACATACCCTTCCTGATACTGTCTTTTCACATGGGGTGTTTGGGAAATACTTGGAATTAGCCTGTGAATTAACCACTGAGGGAGACACATCACCACCATTCATGAGATAATGAAGTCTGGAATATGTTCACAAAGCCATTAATTAACATCTGAGTACATCTGGAGTAATTATTTCAAGGAGCTATGATACAAGTATGAACCACATACAGGTACAGGGAGTACAGACTAAGGTATATCCTGATATTATGAAATGCATGACATGTGTATTAAAATTGCCTTTCCTGTTAATTATTATATATTCATGACCAGATTTTGGCATCATCTGCAGAGAACCAGTTCTTCCGCGAATACAGAAAATCATTTAATGTACAGTCATCTCATTATGTACAGTAATTTTACAACAGGATAATTTCAAGGGTCCTGACGACTCAAATTTTTCTAGGCTATTTGATTCCCAGTCAAGTCTCAATTTCCATAGCACATAACTAACAAAGTCTCAGGCTTGTAGAAAAAAAATACCTGTACATGTATCTCGCTGTCTCGGATGAAGTCGCAGATCTACTTTAATTTACATGTAGTTTAATTGCTGGTTACTACGTTTATTCTTACTCAGAATTTATATGCATGCACTTACTTTTCATCACTCAGGTCATCCCTCAAAGGGACAACACAGATACTTGGTATAAACCCTTCTTTCTGGCTTGAAACACATCTGACATACAACCACCAAGACTTGACATTCCTGGTCAGAATCTCAAAACACTGACCCTTGCAAAATGGCAACTGAGCCTGAGCAGTCGGTGCATTCTCAAGGCAATCTTGCGTCAAGACACCAACAGAATTTGATGGGTCAAAGTCGTAAATAGCCACCACCTTTACTTTCTTTGATATTACTGCTGCCATGGCTTGCATTCATGTACATGTACCCTTGTTCACTGTTTACACTTTGCAGAAAGCAGTACTCGGACATATCTAAAATAAGTCAGATTGCATCAAATATAAATAAAAATACTCACAAGTGTAAGAAGAATAGAACTTTCCAAAATGGTTACTTGCAAGTGAAAAAAAGGCGGTAGGTATATTTTGCAGGTTGCAGGTTGCAGGTTGAAATTTAATCATGACTGAAAAACTGCTGGCACTAAAAATAGTTAATAACCTATATACTTGTCAGGGGTTCTTACACAAAGTAGGAGGCGTCTTTCATGTTAGGTTTATTGATTCAATCCACTATAAGTACTTATCGATATCAACACGCTGAGACCAGCGAAATCTCTTCGAAGGCATCTGGATGGCCGCTCCACAGATGTTTCCATCGATTCCAGATTTGGCTTGGGTCTTCTCCCAACAACAGAAGATTGCCATCACAAATGAAGTAAATAAATAAAGAAATGAAATAATATAAGATTTTAAACGACGGAATATACTAGCCTCAGTGTGCTTTCATTTTGGTACTCACCGGGAAGAAACCAAATTCAGCAGATATTTCAGATGATATTTCAGATGTTTCTCCAAAAACAATAATTCATTGCAGGCTTATTAGGAATATACTCTCCTCCCATCGCTTCCTGCACTTTGGCCGGTTTGGCATTTAGGTGAAAGCCATTATACTGAGCGATTGTAAACAGTGTCATGTAACAGTCACGGTAAGTCTACCGCCTGTACATTTCTTTTAGGTGCCAGCGGTTTTCCAGTTACAATTAAATTTCAACCTGCAACCTTCAACCTGCAAAATGTACTTGCCGAAAAAAAGGTGACCGAGTATACTGCACTCTATCTAATTACAGCTACAATATACATGTTTACATGTACTAACCATTAGATAATTTGGAAACCTTTCATACATCAAAGATATGCATATGACACTATAGGTAAAAGTACAATGAATTTATTGCCTGCAATACATGTATCATACATGTATGGTATAATTATATTGAGGCATAGTAGTCCGTGAGTGGTCCATGTTTGAGGTCTGGCAGAGTCATTATGTTGTGTTCTTGGGCAAGACACATAACTCTTGCAGTGTCTCAATCTCTTTGCCCAGGTGAATAAATATATCTATTACTATATAAGATGCTTTGGTATGTTGTATCGTAGTATATTTTTACAAGTTGTGCCATATTTTGACGAACCCATAGGGCGAGTCAAAATACAAACAACAAGAAAAAATATAAAGTGATACTACACACCAAAACATCTAATAAGAGATTTACTATCCAACTGCTGTAGTCAATAAATTTATCAATGAAAGAGAGAGAGTGTGACAGTTTTGCATGTGTGCGCCAACCTGTATGGCAAACAGGTTTTCTACTGTACAAATAACTGTACAATGTCACTGTATATCTGTACTGTTATTTGGATGTTATTTGCTCCAGTTGGATAATAAATGGGTATAAATGGGTCAATGCTGGGGCTTAACCCTGGGATGGACTAGTGTCCCATGCTCATGGGAGTAAAAATACATGTACTCCTTGTTGCTTAATGATACAAAAGGCAAGTTGAGCCCGTAGGTGCAGAATTTCTTAGCGTGTCTCAGTGAAAGAATAAGTTCCCCAAGGGAAGGGACAGGAATTGACATTTACAGGATCAGGGCCCATGGGTGGGGAACTTGACTTTGGCTTCCCTGAAAATGTCAATTTCCCCTGGGTTTTCCCCTTCCTACTGGGGTCTAACATTGATAAGTGCACAACAAATGGATGGATACAGTGTAAAATTGTAGCATTGTATTCTTTTGTTTCCATTGCAAACCTTCTCTCCAGTTGATAGATTTAAGCTTCAACTTAAATCTTGAAAAGCTGGAAATCATTCAAAGATAGAGTGTTCGCTTACATGGGATCAGGTGAGATAAACTAAGCTCGAGTACTTGACTGGGATTTCCATGACCATTTGCATAACGCACCATAACGTTATCAGCTTAGAACGGTGACCTTTTTTACATGGATTCTGTGCTTTTTTTGCATACATTATTAAAGTGTTGCTTTTACGTATTAAGACAACTACAGAAGAAAAATATTTCGTTATTTCAGGTAGAGTAAATATTAAACTTAGTTTGAAGCCCCTTGTGATATTCAGCGCACCCGATACACTTCGCTTGCGTGGCGATCGACCGTGACATATTCATAACCAAAGCTGAAACATTAAGCTCTTAGTAAAATAACAAAAAACTGAACATCACTTACCAAGTCTTGTCTGTTGGCACGAATCGTAAACGATAATACAAACGGATGCCGTGACCATCAAAAGGGCGAAGAAATCGATATCATTGCATTTAGGCCTTCCTTCCTGAGCAGTTTTATGTTTCAAAAGCCCTCTGACATTGAATCGAACACAGATTTAGGCAGTCAAATTAAACGAGCTGTGTCAGCGTTCTTCAATTGTTGCACCGGTATTGTCAAAGGACGTATTCTTTTCTCCCCTACCTTTTCGTTTTTTTCTTCTTCTTCTTTTTTTGGCGCAAGACAGAACCATCCGATCAATCGCTAGCAATGGTAACCAAGCCTTTTCGTGCGTGGAATTTAGGTTTAGTACTCGCGTGACACGAGCGTTAGGCGCGAGACACGCTACCGATCAAAGCCAGAGCGAAGTGATCGGGGCGGGGCTTGCCGGGAGCCTGTTCGCAAGCTCTAGCCCAGAAAAGCTGCCACAAGAATAATTAGCCAAACAGAAATCCCAGTCGACGGATTATATTTGCTTATTTTAAGAACTGTTTCAAGAGAGGCCATCCGGTTTAGACATCGGATGATGGTACTAGTCCGGGAGCACGTGTAATGCCATGGGAATTTCATGAAGAAAGCAAGCCACTAGTCTGAATGTGTTAAGGGGACCCTAAATTACGTGAACAGTTTTGGTGGCAACTTTGGAACTCGCTCAGACGGGATTTATGAGGGGTCGAAAATGTGACGTATGTATCCCAACATGGAAACGAGGCTCAAACATAAAACCAACCATAAGTATCCACTATTTGCGTAAAATTGAACCCAAATCACCGCAATTATGCAAATCAATGTTTCAAATATGAAAACACAATTTTAAGAGGTTATTGGTGTCACGTGACCAAGCTAGCACGAAAATGAGGCTCACACAAAAGCTGCACTGGAAAGCCCTTAAACTTCTCCTGACGAAGACAGTATGTCATCCGTGTAATCAAACGTGCTTATATGGTAAGGGTAATCACGTGACCATGCTTGCACGAAAACGAGGCTGTCATAAACGANTCTCCTGACGAAGACAGTATGTCATCCGTGTAATCAAACGTGCTTATATGGTAAGGGTAATCACGTGACCATGCTTGCACGAAAACGAGGCTGTCATAAACGAAGCCTTAGTTATTTTCCAAAATGACAATCTTTTAGGAAACTATTTTACGAACTGATTAAAAATATAGTATGACAGACATAGGCCAGGAAACTAGTTTAATCAAAATAGTCTGACAACTCCTTGTCACTCTTCATAGCAGTGATATGATGTAGCCAAAACATTACAGTGGATCACATAAACTTTTTTTTTTTGCCATATTAGAATCACTTTTAACAGGAGTTTTACTGGTACCGAAATGTACCATAGCCTTTCTAACAAATATCTTAGAATGGTTTTTAGTTATAAACACTGTTCCTGATTGTCCATATGGCTCACTCGTGTGTATACAATGATTTACAGTGTTCATTTGGACTATAATATAGTCGCCATCATCATCTGAAATGTCCTCTTCATCTGAGTAGAGAACATCTTCCTCCTGAACATCATTATCACAGGTCTCCACATTGTCGGAGCAGGTGCAGAGGACTGTTCAGTTTAAACCAGACTTGCGGAACTGACAACGGTTAGTGGAACACCTTTCTTTGGAGCATTCACACTATACAAGTTGAAGTATCGCTTTAGGGGCTGGTAGCAGGTTTGTCATGACGGGTACCCATTCATCTTCCGGTGATGGTAGCGCGGGGTTTGTTATTCTGTCGCTCTTCCAGACCATCAACTGGTAATGCGCTCTCAGGATTGCCTGGTGCAATGTGGCCTGCGTTGGTGGCAGCCTGTCTGATTGTACTTGCTTTTTCTTGAAAAGGAACCATCGTAGCTCTTTAATAGTTTTTATAATCTTTATATTAATAGTCGGTTGAAATAGAAGACAAACAATCTTCTCAACGGGTGCGACAACTTCTTCATTCGGATGAGCAGCTTGCCCACGTTCTATTTTAAGTTGTTATTTCAATTAATTAAAAACAGCAATTATAACTGATACGTTTGGGGTCAAAATAACAAATTTGTTTAACCCATTCTTTTAGTTATTTTGACAAGAAGTAACTAAAAAAAAAAGGGTTCTCTCAGATGCACCCTGGGTACCATTTTAATTAGTTAAATTAACCAATTTGTTTGGTTAATAAACACAAAAAAAATAGTCATCTTAACCAAAGGTAATGGTTGTTCCAACTTATGATAAACAGGTTAAAACTACTATTTCTTAATGGTTAAAATTACATGAGAAGTGGCGGCAGTTTAACTAAACAAAATAGTCGAAACAAACAAATCAATAGTCATAATAACTATAATAATTAGTTGTTTCAAACCAAAAGAAACCAGTTAATTCAAACCATTTTAAAATGGTGACTACAACTAAAAAGAAAGAGTTCTCTCAGATGCATTTGGCAACTATTTTAATTGGTTGTTTCAACTAGTCAGTTTTTACAGAGTGTGATCGTGAGGAAAGCATGCACAACAACTGCTTCACAGGTTAACTTAGTGTGTGTCTATTGGCGCGCACATACGCTCGTAATGTTTTCTGCATGTCTTATTCCCCACTCAAGATCATTTGCAGTTCTCACGGACTCAGCAGTATATTAAGCAGGAACGCCTATGAAGGCCATCGTGAAATGAAGTCAATTTGACTACGTTCTTTCTTTACGCTTTGCCTATGTTCATAATCCTGAAATATCTCTTAGAGTTTCAAGACGAGCAAATATTTACCGTAGGTGTTTCCAAGTTCATCCTCATGCTCTTTAGGAATTCGCTTAGGCCGCAGCTGAAGTTTTGCCTTCTGAGAAAAGAAAACGTCCATCCGCCAAATGGATGGAGCGTCAATATTACCAGTAATAAAAAGCCATGATAACAAAAACATTTGTAATGCAAGCTATATACCGTTGATTCCATCACTGCAAGCTGGCTTGGAGAAAATGTCCTTCGCGCGCGATAGCAAAATTTTCCTCTCAACTACGAGAGTAATTGCAATGATCAAGGACTGGGGCGAGATAAGAACTATCCAGTTACCACTCCCTTGTGTGACGAATTAAGTGAACGTTTCAAAAACATTCTGTCCCTGAAATGCCCGTCGTAATTTATCACAGTATAATACACAGCTCAGGCTTCTTTATTTGTTAAATAATGGCTCACAACTAACCTTTTTAATTTCATACTTTAGAATGAATTTTGTTGCTAACTACGATGCTGTACGTGTAAATTGCACCACTCGATCAAAAACAGATTTGTTTTGCAGTCCGGAAGTTTGTTTTATCATATGACCCGTACTGCCCCGCGCGCAATTTCCTTGGAAAACCATACGAAAAAGGTTCACATGAGCAAGACGTTACATTTCAACGGCTCACAACGGTTCACATACCCAATTAAAGAACATAAACGATACTCTTTATTTGAGTTATGTAAATCGCTGGGAACCATTGTGAACCGCTGTGAATCGTTGCAAAGCCACCTCAGGGCATATATTCTGCTAACAACATCAAGGAAAGAGGCAGAAATTCTGGGTTTTTATGTGTGGCAACTGTTCCCCAGAACTGTTGCATTGTCAACGATAGCTTGTGTCATATGAGACTTCTGCTGCCGAGTTCAATCACTGGGTTTGTTATCAGCAAAATCACTCAGACAAATTTCGCGAATCAAAGTCTACACGGACGTAAATTTGGGTCTTTACTTTACCGTATTATCTTACAAACACGATTTGTTGTTTTCTAACGTGTCTGGACTCAATTTGTGCTTAGCGAGACCACTAAATATTGCAGCGCAATAAAGCGGTTGCTGATGCGCGGAGACTGGAAGCGAGTCTGCGGAAAACTATTCTGCACTGCTCTTAAGCCTCCAAATCCTGACCTAAACTACAACTAGACGGTTTCTGTTGCAATTTTTATGGTATTTCAATATTTTCAGCACATATATAGTACAATTTCTATTTATTTTCATCGAAAGGCAATTTCAGACAATCATGAACAAAAGTGTTGACACATTTGTGCAAACCAAACGCTCTCTATCGGCGTCCGTCGGTAACTGGAAAAAAACAAAAACCTTTTTTGTCGATAGCCAAACCCCCTCTCCCCTTTTTCAATGTTGAAATACGTTCCGTGGACACTGTCACGTGGTTACAACATTGAAAAGGGGTTTTTCTTTCCGCTGAGATTTTCGAATTCTATTTCGAGAACGACACAGATGTTCTTAAGAAGTTGTAACGCTTTTTCAAACTGCGGTTTCAGCTGGTATGACTTATTTCCTTGAACATAAAGGTGACGCAGTTTCAAGGAGCTACGTCACGGTTTGCGCATCTTGAAAAGTTAAGGTTACTTCAAACCTTCGCGGGGCTACATTGGTCGATATTCTTTTGGTCAAGAAAATTAAAGTCCGAGGGGTTCTGTTATTTCATTGGCTCACGGCTTTTCACGGTTGACACATTCCTCTGTGAAGGCGTGATATGTTTATAAATCTTTAGAAGGCGAAAACTCACACTCGCTCTTCGAGAGAATCTCTTCTCTTTAAATGAATTAATAGGGTAGGCAGATTTGACGGTTTTTCATGAAATTTGGTCAGAGCATTCACTGATAGATGTGGAACAAAAGCATGTCG